GTTTTTTTATACTGAATGATATTAAGATAAATAGAGCAAAATTTGAAGTAATTGCTTGAAGATCTTACAAGCAAGGAAAAGAAGATGAATATATACAAATTGGAATACTTCTAAGCTAGATTAGAGTCAAAGAACCAGAAGAAAGTACAAGATTCCTTGGTGTTTAGATAAGCTTAAGAAAACAAAAGAGAACAAGTATTCTATGCTGTAAAAAAGAAGTAGAAAAACTAATTTGTATATTAAAATATAAAAAACTCTTAGCAAGCTAGATAATATATATAAATAATATAGTACTGCTTCCAAAGCTTGAATATTTGCTAGCAAATATCTGTCTAAAGAAAAAATTATATAATACTATATACTAGCTTATATTTAAACTAATCAAATAGAAATTAGAATTCCTATTCATATATGTAAATAAAACTCTTTGACATAGAGATATATTTGGAGTAGTAAGCTTATAGCAAAAATATATAAAATACTATATATTAGAGCTCTTTGTATGAATGAATACAAATAGCATTTTAGGTATAACTATGTTAATGAGATTAAAACAATCACAACTAGATATAAATATATCAGAGTATATATTCACTGCAAAAATATAAACTAGAAAAAAACTAAGTATAGAAATCTAGAAGCTAAAATAATATAATATATAAAAAAATTTGGTCTAAATATCACAAAAAATAATTTTATAACAGGTTAGAATCTGATAAACTTGCAAAAAGAAAAAAACTGTCTTATTAGTAATATTCTTAATAAATATAATATAAAAAAAATATAAGAAGATATAAGCAAGCTCAATTTATGATATGTAAATCAGCTATTAGATAATGAGCAAGAAAGAATAATTACTTAGAGACAACTCAAAATAAGAGAAGAAAAGAGATACATTATAAGAAAAGCAAAATAGTTCTAAACTTTAAAAAATGAAATTTTAGAAGACAAGAAATCAAAAGAAATAAAGGAAGAGTACTGAAAAAAAAAAGGATTCTAAGTACAAAATGCCAAAAAGAAAATCTTATCTAATAAAAAAAAAAAAGAATAGATGCTTATAAAAGGTAAAGAGAACAAAAAAAATAAAATTAGTCATATTATTAGAAAGAAAATGAAGCTTGTAGAAGTAGAGATTTGAAAAGAAAATCATAAAAACTCATATGAAGAATGTAGTCAATAAGAAGTATACAGAGAAAGAATCAACTGAAGAAAAATAGTCAAAAACAAAGGGTAGCATTAAAAGAAGTTTACAATATCTCAAGTTTCATATAAAAAAAAGATAATATACTAGAAGTAGTATTTAACAGGAAGTACTTAGAAAAAATTAGGAAAGAGAACTAAAAAAGCAAAGTAGAGAAGTTTAAGAAGTTCAAAGATTTAGAGCATGTTGAAGTAGAAAATAGCTAGGAGGCAGAGCTAATTAATCAGATTATTCAAGATACAAGAATCAAAGCAGAACTAAAAGAAAGATTAGAAGTAAATAGAGAAGAAAAAAAAATAGTATTTTATATAGATAGTTTACTCAGAAGTGAAGATATCAGAAACAAAATAAAGATAGAATTTAATGTAGTTCAAATAGATAGTACAAATAGTATAGTTTTTAGTTAAAGGAAAGAATAGAAAACTAGTTTTTATCTATTCATGCAAAGCTGATAGCTTGTTTAGTAGCAGTTTTGTTAGCTCCTAATAGATACAAAGTAGAAATAAGAATAGATAACATATATGCAATTTTTGCAATTAAGAATTGTCTTAAGAATGAGAAAATATATAAATAGTTAAAGTATAAGAACAATAATATTCTGCATACAATTAAGAAAGTCTACAAAAGCAAATCAGTTTGGCTAATATTAACAAAAGTTAAAAGTCACTCAGGTGATATTTATAATGACTTTGCAAACATACATACAAAGAAAGAAATATATGAAGCAAACTGTATAGAACTGAATAATATTAGTAATAATAATATAAAGTATATTTCTAAATAGAAAGAGCTAAGTTTGGAAACTCTGCTAAGAACCTTTGTTAAAAAAGTAATTCAAACAAGATACAAGGCAGAATGGATCTAACTAAGAAAGAAAAATAATGTAGAACACCAAACAAGAATTCAAAAACAGGATTAGAAAGCTTTTAAGAGTATATTAGAAAGCTATTATAAACAATACCAAAACCCTGAAGTAAACTACTTATGATTATTCAAAATCAAATATATAGAAAATTTCCTTCTAACAGTAGAAATTTTAAATCATAAAAAGCTATAATTATACAAAAATAGTCTATGCAAAAGATGCTTAAAGGAAAAAGAAACAATCAGACATTTAGTCATCTGTGAAAAATCATATCAAGTACTAGAAAAAATTGAAGTCAAAGCATGAAAACAGCTTTATGAAGATAAAAGAAAAGAAAAAAATTAGGATCTAAGGAATATATATTAAACATTCCAATATGAACAGAAAACAAAACAACAAAAGAAACAAAAATAGTTAAGAGAAATACTTTGTAAAGAAGATACTAAAAGAATCAAAACTACTATCAGCACTGAAAGTATGACAACTAAGTTCTGGAACCTATTTTGGCATATCTGAATAGAATTAGTATATAAAGAAGTTTGGAAAAATTGATACAAAGATATGAAAACTTAGAAGAAAAAAAAAAAGATCTTCAAAAAAGAAAAATACATACAGAAAGAAAAAGAAAAAAATGTTCTAAAAAAAAATCTTCACAGAAAAAACAAACTATAGAATAGATAAAAATACAGAAAATTATAATATTAGTTTTAAATAGTAATAAATAGCATAGCTAGAGAAATAAGAGAGAGAACTTTAACTAGCTAGATTTAAAATTAATTAGGATAAACTGTAACATTTTTCCTATATTGATTTGTAATTTATTATTTATAACTACTTAAGTATAGAACAAAAGGTTACTATAACAGATCATACATAGGTATCTATAAGATAACTAGATAAGTTAAAGCTTAAAAAATTAGACATTAAATAGTATATAGCTAAATAATGTTGTTTTCAAATAAAAAACAAATCTAAATAAAGTCTTGATATAACTACTGAATTTAAAAAAAAATTAACAAGATAAAAAAAAACTCTAGCAAACTAAAGATACTATTAAAATAGATAAGCAAAAAAAATATAAATATAATAGAAATTAATAAAACTAAAAATAATTTTAGTATAAGCAAATAAAAAAAATATCTAGAGATTTGAACTAATACAAAAAAAGTAAAAAAAAAAAAGTCTAAAATCAACTTGATAATAAACAAAAAATAAAAAAAAAACACTTAAACCAAGTAAAGAAAAATAATACATACTACTTAGAAGCTTTTTTTGTATTTAAATAACAAAAAGTACTAATAATAATCATATAATAATCAAAAGATCAAGAAAAACATTCAACAAGTGATTAAAAGAACATATAACTATTAAAAAAAAGTTACAAAAATCATAATTCTAGGCGACTTTAACGATATAAGATGTAAGAACTAAACCAAAGCAAGAAAGAATCCAAACGAACACAAAAACCCCCACTACTAAACTGGCTCACAATAATTCGCTGTACAGCAAGATAAATTGTCGATTATTTTATTGGTTTTGAAGTAAAGCATGTAATCGAGCAATCAGTCAACCACTATAATAATTTTCGATAATATAATACAATAATAAAAACATGTAAATGAATTTTCTTTACACAAATTAAAGTACCTTAGGTGTTTAATTGGCATTCACCAATACTAATCTCAATAGGATCATAGTCATTCGCATTTCCAGCTGACAACTTTCCAATCCGAATAACTTGCCACATTCCTGTGTTGCCAACTCTCGATACACAACACATGATAACAGCTTGTGAATTTGCCGCTTCTCCAAGAGTATAATTACACAAATCCTTATCAGGCTGCGTTTCATCAAATAATTTAAAGCTTGGTCTTTGAAAATGACCGATTGTCGGAGACTTCCATGAGCTAAGAACAAAGTAAAGTTGGGTAACTTCGGGAGGAAGTTGATCGAGCTTAGCAGTGATACGTTGACTCCCTAGTTTCCATAAGAATTGCATAGATTGTAACCAAGAAAAAAAAAAAAAAAAGAAGCCACCAAGTATAATGTTTTTACCAACCTGTCCTCCTCGTATTATCCATCACATCTCCAGAATGTCTCATATGCGGAAATGAAGGATAATATACAGATGCGTAATCGTATTTTCTCCAAAATGTATCACCAGCATATAACAAACAACTTCCATCAAGATAATCCTGTGCTCCATTTACGGGATACCCCCAGGATAAATCAAATGTTAAACTTTTGATAGACTCGGCCCTTGTAATACTATAAAGCACAACAATAAGTTGAATATGACTACCCGGTCCAATTCCGTAGTCTGCCAATGTACTTGCACGATTTTGTTGAGTATCCTATGTATATCACAGAATTCAATTACAATTTTACATGGTTAAGTTTTTTAATAAATTTACATACCTCTAGCTCTTTACCGCGATAAATTAACTTTTGCTTTGTTTGATTAACTCTTAATTGCTTGTTTACAGAACCTCTCAAAGCTATTACAGTTTTATTTTCTTCCAATTTCATAGTCACTTTTTGTCCATTCAACATTACAATATAAAAGTCTCCTTTTAAAGAACCACCTTCCGGTAGTTGAACTATTGGTGGATGAACTCTACCAATGCTTTCTACATCAATTTTAAAAGGTGCCTTCTCCCATGCTAAATTAAGTGCCTTCATTTCTTGAGGATTTATTACTGATTGACATTCCGGACATTTAGCTTGTTGCTTATTTTGTACTTTATCTATTTGTGTTATCAAGCACTGTTAATAACAACCCCAAAAAAATGAAATTAATTAATGGCATTCGCGAGAATTAATGCAATTTAAAAATTAAGTCTAACATACTCGCAAACAAAGGGAAGAAATATGCTGACACTTTTCCGTAATGGTTGTAGGTGGAAACTCTTTAGAGAGCTTTTCTAATTTGCATTGTGAGCACTTCATATTTCAAAAAACGGAAAGAATTCTATCTCTAAACAATTGCCTTTATCACGTATATATACAAAATGAATCCTGCGGAGTTAACTTTTCCACGAATATAGAAACGGACAAACTCAAATTCACTCCGCAATATATATTTGAGTATTACGTAACTAGACCCGCATAATACAAAAAGCAAGTAAAAAATCTGTCGATCATTTAGCTGGATTAATCGACATCGGCCTGCATTGTTAGGTTAGTGTTATGAATTACCGTTACAAATGATAAATTTTTATTTAGCAGAACTGAACTTTTAATTTAAAAACAAAAAATAATTATGGCCGGACCAGACGAATGGCTAACAACAATAAAAAAATGCCATTTTTTATCCGAAACAGACATGAAAAAACTTTGTGAAATGGTATATTGGTTGTGTATCTTCAAAGATAGATCTCGCCTTTAGATTAATTCCAATGTTAATACTATAGTACTTTATCTTAAATAGGTTAAAGATCTATTAATGGAGGAGTCCAATATACAACCTGTACACACGCCTGTCACAGTTTGTGGTGACATTCACGGTCAATTCTATGATCTGTTAGAACTATTCCACGTTGGTGGAGAGATTCCAGACACCCATTATATATTCATGGTGAGCAATTCTTTCACTAATAATAGATCAATTTATTGCATTTTAATAGCTTAAAAAAAAAAAAATAAAAATAAATAAATAATAAATAAATTAGGGTGATTTTGTAGATAGAGGTTATTACAGTTTAGAAACATTCACACTATTGATGGTTTTGAAAGCAAGGCAAGAGAGAATGAATATTCACGGAATTCATAGTTAAGGTTATCTTCGTGATTGTGATCGTAACTTTATATATATTATTTTTCATTTCATATGTTCATAGATATCCAGACAAAATCACTCTTTTGAGAGGTAATCATGAGAGTAGGCAGATCACACAGGTGTATGGGTTTTATGGTGAGTTAGATTTGCCACTTCAATATTACAATAATGACAAATTTCATATATTGTTTATATAAAAATTTGTTAGATGAATGTCAAACAAAATACGGAAGCCCAAATGTTTGGAAGTACTGTTGCCAAGTGTTTGATTATTTGACTCTAGCTGCTGTAAGTGTTGAATTGACCAGAAAGTTTACATATTAAAAATGTGTAATTTGATATATGTTTATATTTTTCATTATTTGATGAATAAGACAGATTCCATTCTTTTCTAGATTGTTGATGGGCGTATCTTATGTGTTCATGGTGGTTTATCGCCCGAAGTTCGAACATTAGATCAGATAAGGACGATACCTAGAGCCCAAGAAATTCCACATGAAGGTGCCTTTTGTGGTACGTATTTACTATATTTTCTGTTTTATCCGCTATTTGTTACTTATGTATCTTTTGCCAGATTTAATGTGGTCTGATCCCGAAGACATTGATACATGGGCTGTTAGTCCACGAGGAGCTGGCTGGTTATTTGGAGCAAAAGTGACGAATGAGGTATATTTGATAATATTTGTATATCTTGTATTAATATAAAAATTATTCATGATCGATATATATATTTTTTTTGATACTAAAGTTTAATCAGGTTAACGACTTAAATCTAATAGCTCGAGCGCATCAATTAGTACAGGAGGGTTATAAGTATATGTTCCCTGATGATAACCTAGTTACTGTATGGTCGGCACCAAACTACTGTTATCGTTGTGGCAATGTAGCATCTATAATGGCGATTAATGAAAATTTGCAGATTGATGAAAGTAGTTTTAAAATTTTTAACGCTGTTCCTGATCAAGAAAGGTCAATCCCACCGAGAGCTGGTGCGGGTCAATATTTTCTTTGAACAAAAAGATAATCGTCATTTAGTGTACAATATTTTTATATATGGGTAAGAGATAAATTTGACCAATTGGAATAGAAACATCCATTGTTGGGATTGAATTCATAATTTTAATCTTTTTACCTATTATTTTAATTTTTTAAAAAAAAATTTTTTTCAAGTCAGTTGGGCAGGTGTTTCTCGTTTTTTTTTTTTTTATGCAAATTTTTTTTTGCCTTTAACAATCCTTTTTGTCCGGAGGACTGTGATCAGTATCACGTGAACAGATCTACCTGTCGCCTCCATAGCACTAATTTGCTGAATGTAGCAAGCATAACGATGATGAATTTCATTATCTATGAACACACAATGCATTATCTAGCTATAATTATTGTTATACTAGTCTTCATTAGTCTCTTCACTGACATTTGAATTTATAAGTGAAAAATTATAATCTGTGATTAGATTTTTTAAAAGTGTATAGTTTTTTTTTTAATAATGTTAAAGTGGTTTTCTTGGCTAGTAGAATTTTATTAAACTCTTATTACAAAGAGTAATTTTTTATTGTTATCTAGTTATGCAATATAAACTAATCACATTTACAACTTTAGTTATTGTTTATTTTAAGTATTTTGTCTGTAGGTTTTATATTAGTTATCCGGTATTTATATGGTTATGAGAATTTTTTTTGCCTTGATATTTTTTGCATGAGGTTACATAATCATTTATGCAAAAATATCACAGGAAAAACATTACATAGTCATATATATTTGCCAAATAACATCAATATTGAGTATACAGTAAATTTTTTTTATCAGAGTTTAATGTTATCTATATACTGTTTTGCAGCATATAGGTGACATTAAACTCCAATAAAAAAAATTTCCTGTTATTTTTTTATTGTCTGCTCAATTTTGTATATTTATTAAGGTTCAGAATAAAACGAGTTAACTTTAAAGTTTGTGAGTTAAAGCTCAAAATTTCAATTAAATTTTTTATAAAATAAACAGATCTATCAAAATTGTATGTATAGATTCTGTGTACGATTATTAGTTACATGATTAATTTGTAAACAAAAATTATTATAACTTTGATATAAAGTTTTTTTTTTTTTTTTTTTTTTTTTTTTTTTTTTTATTATTATAAACATGCCATCGGTGAGATTTTTATTTAGTTTTGAGCAATGATTACATATGTGAGAGTACAACTAGCCACATATACAACTTTAGATTGTCTAATTTAAGTAGTCTACCTAAAGGTTTTACATTAGCTACTATATCTGAAATTTATTTAAAAATTCCTTATTTAAACTCTCTAGCTATATGTCATTCCTATTCTGCTATTATTTATTACTAAATTCATCTAACCCTATACTACTTCCATTTTCAGAAGACATCAACAGAGCTAACATAAATCTACAAACTTTATGATTCAAACCCTAGACCTCTTGCATGGCGGTCTGACAACCTAACCACTACACTAAGATCGCTGAACCAATCTGCTTTTTTTAAAATTAGAATTACATAGAATTTATCAAGAGAAACAACTTTTATTATAACAATTTTTGTGATTTAATTG